AGTCAAACCGGAAAAGCAAAAGAACCTGAGAGATCTTCATATCCTCCAGATCATCATCAGCGTCACCTTCATCATTCACCCACTAACTGTGTTGACTCTCTGCTAAAATCTCGCGCTTCGAGCTTTTCTCCGGCGAATACTATCTTCCATCGAAAGGTAATTTCATCGACATATTGATTTTCATTACCGATCGTTTACTCTTGTCGTTTAGTTCGAGTTTGTTTATATCTGAAATCTCATTATCCGCCATTGATCACGATCATCTAAGTTGTTTATTTCGATCTATTCGACCGAAGTTGTGATCTTAATGTTGTGTCCAGCTTTTTTTTAATTAAGGAATTTGATTAGTGATTTTTTTTTGTTTGCTTAATTAGTGATTTGATTAGCGTCATTTCCAGTGTCTTCCCTCGAACTGAGAATTTTTTTTTTTTGGTTATGAAGTGATTCGATTAGCGTCATCTCCAGTTTCTTCCTTCGAACTGTGAATCTGATTCTTGTGGTTTATGATTCGAATTTCTGTTCTGTGCCAAGATGTTTCATTATAGGAAGGTGATGATTAGTAAATTTTGTATTTGTTTGGTTAATTAGCGACTTGATTAGCTTCATTTCCAGTTTCTTCCTTCGTCGTATTTATGATTCGATTATCGATTGATTTATAATTTATGCAGAGAGAGAGAGAGCAATAAGATGGGAACTGTCAATGAAGGGAAGCTAAGGTTTTGCATCGACAGAGGAGGCACTTTCACTGATGTTTACGCCGAGATCCCGGGGCATTCCGATGGCCGTGTTTTGAAGCTTTTATCGGTGGATCCATCGAACTACGACGATGCTCCGGTGGAAGGAATCAGGAGGATACTCGAAGAGTACACAGGGAAGAAGATCCCACGAACATCAAAGATACCAACAGATAAAATCCAATGGATAAGGATGGGTACGACCGTGGCAACGAACGCATTGTTGGAGAGGAAAGGAGAAAGAATAGCTTTGTGTGTCACAAAAGGGTTCAAAGATTTGCTTCAGATAGGTAACCAAGCTCGTCCCGATATCTTTGATCTTACTGTGGCGAAACCGTCGAATCTTTACGAAGAGGTCATAGAGGTTGATGAAAGAGTGGAGCTTGCGCTTGAGAATGATAAAGATGATTCTGAAGGTCTCATCAAGGGAGTATCTGGTGAGCTTCTTAGAGTTGTGAAACCGTTTGATGAAGAAGCTTTGAAACCGTTGCTGAAAGGTCTTCTTGATAAAGGGATAAGTTGTTTAGCTGTTGTTCTGATGCATTCGTATACTTATCCGAAGCATGAGATTGCGGTGGAGAAGTTGGCCTTAGAGATGGGTTTTAGACATGTCTCTTTGTCCTCTGCGTTGACTCCGATGGTTCGAGCTGTTCCTCGGGGTCTAACAGCCACCGTGGATGCATATCTGACACCTGTGATCAAAGAGTACTTATCGGGTTTCATCTCGAAATTCGACGATGATCTTGGGAAAGTGAATGTTCTGTTCATGCAATCTGATGGAGGTCTAGCACCAGAAAGCAGGTTCTCAGGTCACAAGGCTGTGTTATCAGGACCAGCAGGAGGAGTTGTTGGTTACTCGCAGACGCTCTTTGGTCTCGAAACGGAGAAACCGCTGATTGGATTCGACATGGGTGGTACATCGACGGATGTTAGCCGCTATGATGGAAGCTACGAGCAAGTCATAGAGACACAGATCGCTGGAGCCATCATCCAAGCGCCACAGCTTGACATAAACACCGTTGCTGCTGGTGGTGGATCGAAGCTAAAGTTTCAGTTTGGTGCTTTCCGGGTAGGACCTGACTCCGTTGGTGCTCATCCCGGTCCGGTTTGTTACCGGAAAGGAGGGGAGTTAGCGGTTACTGACGCAAACGTCGTGTTGGGTTTTGTTATTCCTGATTATTTTCCATCCATCTTTGGACCTAACGAAGATCAGCCTTTGGATGTAGCAGCAACAAGAGAAGCATTTGAGAAGCTTGCAGGACAGATAAATTCATACAGGAAGAGTCAGGATCCATCTGCTAAAGACATGACTGTGGAGGAAATAGCAATGGGGTTTGTGAGTGTTGCTAACGAGACAATGTGCCGTCCCATACGGCAGTTAACGGAGATGAAAGGTCACGAGACAAAGAACCACGCGCTCGCGTGCTTCGGAGGAGCTGGACCGCAACATTCTTGTGCTATAGCTAGGTCTTTGGGCATGAAAGAGGTTCTTGTTCATAGATACTGTGGGATTTTGAGTGCTTATGGAATGGGTTTAGCAGATGTCATTGAAGACGCTCAAGAGCCATATTCAGCTGTTTATTGCCCTGAGTCTCTTTCAGAGGTTTTCAGAAGAGAAGCTTTATTACTGGAAGAAGTTAGAGAGAAGCTTCAAGATCAGGGTTTTGGTGATGAGAATATATCTACTGAGACGTATTTGAATTTAAGATATGATGGCACAGATACAGCGATCATGGTAAAGGGTAAAAAAACCGGAGATGGGTCTACATTTGATTATGCTGCAGAGTTTCTCAAGCTTTTTGAGCAAGAGTATGGATTTAAACTTCAAAACAGAAACCTACTTATATGTGATGTTCGTGTTCGCGGAATTGGAGTGACGAGTATATTAAAACCACGAGCGGTTGAAGCTGCTCCTGGTACTCCTAAAGTTGAAAGCCACTACAAGGTTTACTTTGAAGGAGGATGGCATGAAACACCGTTGTTCAAGTTAGAGAATTTAGGATTTGGCCATGAGATTCCTGGTCCAGCGATCATCATGAACGGGAACAGTACAGTTATTGTAGAGCCTCAGTGCAAAGCCATCATCACAAAATATGGGAACATTAGATTCGAGTTAGAGTCTGCAGTGAGCAGCATTAAGCTTGCGGAGAATGTTGCAGACGTTGTTCAACTCTCAATCTTTAATCATAGGTTCATGGGTATAGCTGAGCAAATGGGAAGAACTCTGCAACGTACTTCAATATCGACGAATATTAAAGAAAGGTTGGATTTTTCTTGCGCGTTGTTTAGTCCTGACGGCGGTTTAGTCGCTAATGCGCCGCATGTTCCTGTTCATCTCGGTGCTATGTCGAGTACAGTTCGGTGGCAGCTTAAACATTGGGGTGAGAATCTGAACGAAGGAGATGTTTTGGTGACGAATCATCCTTGTGCTGGTGGTAGCCATTTGCCTGATATAACCGTTATAACTCCTGTTTTCGACAAAGGTAAGCTCGTGTTCTTCGTTGCGAGCAGAGGTCACCATGCTGAAGTCGGAGGGATAACTCCAGGAAGCATGCCTCCTTTCTCAAAGGCGATTTGGGAAGAAGGAGCTGCGATAAAAGCGTTTAAAGTTGTTGAGAAAGGAGTTTTCCAGGAAGAAGGAATCGTTAAGCTTCTTCAGTTCCCTTCTTCTGATGAAACAACAGCTAAGATTCCTGGAACCAGAAGGATTCAGGACAATCTCTCTGATCTTCAAGCTCAGATAGCTGCAAACCAGAGAGGGATTGCTTTAATTAAAGAGCTGATTGAGCAATACGGTCTCGGAACTGTTCAGGCTTACATGAAATACGTTCAGCTTAACGCAGAAGAAGCAGTGAGAGAAATGCTGAAATCTGTTGCTATTAGAGTCTCCTCTGAATCACCAAAATCAAGAATTGGTAACTCCGTAACCATAGAGGAAGAGGATTACATGGATGATGGATCAGTGATTCATTTAAAACTCACAATCGATGCTGATAAAGGAGAAGCCTTCTTCGACTTTACAGGCACAAGCCCTGAAGTCTACGGTAACTGGAACGCACCAGAAGCGGTTACAGCCGCAGCGGTTATTTACTGTCTCCGTTGTCTGGTTAACGTCGACATTCCGTTAAACCAAGGCTGTTTAGCTCCGGTTGAGATCCGTATACCGGCTGGTTCGTTCCTGTCTCCGAGCGAGAAAGCAGCTGTTGTTGGAGGAAACGTTCTTACATCTCAGAGAGTCACAGATGTTGTACTAACAGCTTTTAAAGCTTGTGCTTGTTCACAAGGATGCATGAACAATCTCACATTTGGAGACGACACGTTTGGGTACTACGAGACCATTGGAGGAGGTTGCGGAGCAGGACCGACATGGGATGGTACAAGTGGAATCCAGTGCCATATGACTAACACGCGTATGACTGATCCTGAGATCTTCGAGCAAAGGTAACGAAAACATTCCTCTTAACCTTTTTAAGACCTAAGACTAACACAAGGGCTGGTTTTATCAGGTACCCTGTTCTGTTGCATAGATTTGGATTAAGAGAGAACAGTGGAGGCAATGGGTTACACAGAGGAGGAGATGGTTTGGTGAGAGAGATAGAGTTTAGGAAGCCTGTGGTGGTTAGTATTCTCTCAGAGAGACGAGTTCACTCGCCACGGGGATTGAACGGTGGACAAAACGGAGCTCGTGGAGCAAACTATCTCATCACTAAAGATAAAAGGAGAATCTATCTTGGAGGTAAGAATACTGTACACGTGGAAGCCGGTGAGATCCTACAGATTCTTACTCCGGGCGGTGGCGGATTCGGCTCCGACGTCTGAATGACTCATCAGTTCTTCATTTCAGGTCAGAGTTTTGATTCAGAACAAGTGCTAATTAAACTACCAAGAAAATAAAGATATTCATAATCTTCCAGAGTTGTGGTGAATAAACTGTAATTGATTTTTTAAGTATTTTATGTTGTTCCCTCGACAATTCAGACATTGTACAAAAGTTTCGTTGGATTATTATCATTTAAGAATCAAGAGCTTTTACGCATCCCACTGAAAAATGTAATCATTTGCTTAGTTGTATAATTATTACTTACTCATTAAGCATAGCTTTGCTTTGATAACTACAAAATCCAGTAGAAACTGAAACCTTTGTTAAATTAAAGCTGTTCCATCAAGACAAAAACTTACACATACCAACTAAATCTAATCTTAGTTCGCCAGGACAAAAACCTACACAGCAACTAAAGGGTCTTCTTCTATATCACCTTAACCTTCTTACTCTTGGTTCGATTTCTTAATGCAAACCTTCATTTCCAACAATTCACCACACAAGAAACTGTTAGGTATCAACATGAAATTCTCTTGTGGGGTTTGATAGCTAACTTCACGAATCCTCTTTACTTCTGGTGATCCATAAGTAATGGTGTGTCCATCCACAGTGTAAGAGAGATGATATGAGAACTCTCCAACTTCAGGAGCAGATGGCGCAATGCAGCTTACAGTTACATACACACCATAAGGCTCCCTAAAACACTGGACTACAAACAATAATCCCATCAGAAACTCTGATTTAAGTAATATCTTATCGCTGATGTTCAACTCTGCCAAGAAAGAACACATTCACATATTTAAGCTTGTATATTGTCACGTGGGGAACATCATTGTAGTGATCGTAGAGATGATTGTACAATCCAGTGAAATTGCAGTCTTGTGCAGGGCAGGAGCATTGAGAGAAGGCAAATTCTTGTTCATGAGTTGATACTTTCCCATAAGACACATTCTTGTTGCATCCAAACTTGGCGTTTGGGCATGGGACCAAGACTGATTCAAGAACACTCTCCATTGCTCTGCAGCGATTGTTGCCGATAGGGAAAGAACAAGCAGGGCATTTACCACTCAGTTTGGGACAGCAGGAAGAGCAAGCCAAATGCCCATTATCACACTGAAGTACAAAAACCAAAAAGCAAACATAGCACATGATTTTTTTCACTTGGTCGAGCTCAAAAACTTATCCAATTCAAATGCAGTAGATATCAACTAGCCATCATCATAAACAAACTTTCAAGAACTCAAACATGAACATATCTCACAAAACTTCAGTAGAATACTAGAATCTTTAAAATCATCAAAAAGAAAACTAGGGATACTCTTAAAACCAATTGTGGTAAAAAGCTACATATCAACACTTAATCGATACACATATCTTCAAGAACTAAAACTGCAAAGATGAACATATCTTACAAAAACTTCACTAAAATTCTCAAATCATCAAAACAAAAAGTTAAGGATTCTCTAAAAATCTAGTAAAAAGGGAAAAAAATCAAACTTTTTACTTCCTTTTTACTTCAAATCATACTCTTCCTAGTGCAGAGTTTGAGACACAAATTCTAGTTGTCAAAACAGAAACCATCTGAAATAAGCACTTTGTACCTCTTCTCAAATTAGGAAAATACAAAATTCAATAGGAGAGAATGAGAAGCTACCTGGAAGATAGGGATCTTAAATGCTTCGAAGCAGATGGGACAATCTAGAACATCAGGATCAAGCAGCATCAGCGACTGGTTCTCTCTCTTCGCTCCGTCACCGGGAGATCTCCAAGAACGTTTTCTCTTTTGCAAGAGAATGCTGTTGGACCCAGTTCCTTCGTTCGTAGTCGAGGCTCCCACCATTGAAGATGTTAGATGTGTATAATTTGAAAAATGCACACATTCAAAACATATTTCGACACCTTCACAATCAAACCACCTTCTCATTCTCCTTTATGATCTGCCCTGCAATGGGTTGCCCTTTATGATCTGTGATGGGCTTAAAACCGATGATCATCTTCTGCATTTGCCAATTTTCATCAATCCAATGCTTGAACAATGTAAGATATGTGAAGATTTTAGATGTGTAAGCTTGGTGCTGATGCAACAAGATGATGTAAGCGGCAAGCAGTTCTATAACTGAATAATAAATTAGCGGAATCAATAGGATGAGTAAACTGAAAACTGAATAAACTCAAAACGCTAAAAAGCTAGTATCTATTAGATGAATAGATTTTTCTTAAAACTAGCTATAAATTTAAAACATGCGGGATAAATTAAAAAATAGCGTGTTAATTTTCACTTTTTATCATTCGGTGCTTAATATTGTGAATGGTATGTATTTCGTAGAATCACGTTTTGAAAACATGATAACATAAAAAAGCTATATACCATTCAACCCCTTAGAATGACGGCATGACTAAGGTTTGGAGAGACACGTTGTATTACCAGTATGTATGGGTTCTAATACTCAGTCATCAAAAAAGAGATTGTTGATGTATTGCTGACTGATTTAAGAACTTACTGGAATATGACGATTATAGCGACTGTTACAGATGAGGAAGAGACACAAAGTGAACATTGATATAGACTCTGAAATACTAACAGTACATGATACAGGCTGAGGTAACACAAGTATCGACACAGAACATTGTGGGAGGGATTAACACCTTTAATTCAGCTAGTCAGAGAAATGGTTAAACCCTAATTCCCTTTTACTCTGTTTTTGGTTTTTTTTTTTGTTTTTCTTTGGTTTTTGATAGGTCTGAAAGAGTTTTTAATCAGCTATGCTTACAAATTACAATTCACACTTTACAATTACAGATAACACATATAGATAACACATATGATTTCATAAGGGGTCATTTGAAAGGGTCTCAAATAAAATCCATCTAAATGGTTTTGGCCTGTTCATTTATGTATATTAATTGTTCAAATGACAGTTTATACACTTATACTTTGAAATCATAAAATCTGTTTTTTTTATCATAACTAGAAAATCGCAATTTTGTAAGATAATATTCCTTTGGGAACATTCTTCCGGAAACTATTCTTCGAGATCGCCTCTAGAACCATGCCCTCCAGAGAACATTCCTCCGGAAACTATTCTTGAGATCACTTCTAGAGGCATGCCTTCCAGAGAACATTCTTCTGGGAACTATTCTCCGCGATCGCCTCCAGGAGCTCACTCTCGAAGGAACATTCCTCCGGAAACTATCGCCTGAGATTGCCTTCAGGAGCTTGTCCTCTGGGAAACATTCCTTCGAGAACTATCCTCCAGAATCGCCTTTCGGGGCTCTCTCTCCGGGGAACATTCCTCCAGAACCGTCTCTCGAGGCTAGCTCTACGGGGAACATTCCTCTGAGAAATATACTTCGGGATCGTCTTTCGAGACTCGCCCTCCAAGGAACATTCATCCGAGAACTAACCCCAAAGTGGCTGTCCACCGGACCCACTGACCAACCAAGGTTCCACCAGAAAGCCATTGATATGCTCGTTTCAAAATTCTTCATTATTTCAGGAAATCCTGCCGAAGGAAAGGATGGCTAGACTTCCGTACCTCGCCCGAACTAGCTTTGAAAGTCAGAAGCAACTGTTGGACCACAAATTGCACCGTGGCCCACTAAACCCAACGTGTGGGAAGCAGACACCGTGGGAACCCGATGAGCAATAAATGCTATGCATCTACCAAAGTGAGCCGCAATGATGGCGGCTAGGGAGAGGCAGAGCCGATCAACGGCTCCTTCTTTAGCAACACGCATGAGGAGGTCCGGTCAGTTCAAGAACAATGGAGAAAGACGATATACCAGATAATAGCAAGTGCCTGATCCTAGGAACCTGGAGCCCCAGCCCGTATCTGACCCGCTACCAGATATTTTTTATAAATACCATCCTTATGCCAATGGTAAGAGGAGGAAAAATTCTACAGAGATACTGTTCATCATCTAGCTCCACTAAACCCATAAAATCGCCCAAGGCTTTATCAAGATCATTCTGAATTTATAAAGCATCACATCCCTTTCTGCTCTCTCGATATTATGACACTAACTTGAGCGTCAGAGAGTAATCAGAAGGGAACCCCTTTCTGTTTCATCATGTTCGTTTCCTCACGTGCATTTCAGGTTGATCGTCCTCCAAAATTCGAATCTTCCCAACAAATCCATTAGCCTATCAAATCACTCCATGTAAATATTCCAGAATTTAATCCTAAACACATATATCTTATATATAAAATTGTTGGAAAACAAAAAAAAAAAATTAAAAAAATTAATTTATTTTACATTTTTAAATTTTTTTTGTTACAATATCTACTTAAATCAATAATTTAAACTAAAAACCTAGTAACATCATAACACTAAATCAAATTTGTCCATTACAACTCATAAGCAACCCAGAAACAAAAGCTCCGTACAATTTGAAAAATGCACACATTCAAAACATAAATCGACACCTTCATAATCAAATCACCTTCTCATTCTCCTTTATGATCTGCCCTGCAATGGGTTGCCCTTTATGATCTGCGATGGGCTTAAAACCGATGATCCTCTTCTGCATTTGCCAATTTTCATCGATCCAATGCTTGAACAATGTAAGATATGTGAAAATTTTCGATGTGCAAGATTGGTGCTGACGCAACAAGATGAATGTAAGCGGCAAGCAGATACTTAGAATGACGGTATGACTAAGGTTTGGAGAGACTCATATTGTATTACCAGTATGCTTGGGTTATAATAATGTCATCAAAGAAGAGATTGTTGATGTATTGCTGATAGGACGATTATAACGACTGTCACATATGAGGAAGAGACACAAGGTGAACTTGGTATAGACTTTGAGACACTAGCAATACGTGATACAGAGGCTGAGGTAGAACATGTATCAACACAGAACATAAACACACATTGTGGTGATCATAAAAATGCAGCATGATACATAAGAAAATGTATCAGACAACATGTTAAGGGCTGATGCATCAAATGGTGTATCAAGCAGTATATCAGAGGATGTATCAGACAGCATATCAAGAGTCAAGTATCGATCAAAAGATGACGTGGCATGTGGCTTGCTGAGCTGTACCAAATTGCTAGGATATGTAATATTCGTTGCACAAATTTGGTAAGTAGATAAACTTGAGAAGCAAGTTGTATCTATCTGTGATCGCGTGGGGATCCTATGTGATAGGGTTAAGTGGTTAATATAAATATCTTGAGCCCGTATGGTGTGCGTCTAAGGTATCATCGACAGAGGCACACGTTGTGTGTGGCATCGTCCCCATCACACAAACAAGATGTAAATCTATAAGCTCTTGTTAGTGGTGTTTTTGTTAATATAACAATCCACAGAAAAATTGGATATGTGAGTGAAAATTTACAGTAGGATTTCATGCCGAAAAAATTGTACACAATTATATAATTGTTATCTTGTTTAAGTGGAATTTTTCTGGGCTAGACCTCAGAGATGTAGGAAACCGAACCTCGTTAACAAACTTGTATGTTATTTACTTATTGCACTTGCCATGTTCATATTGAATGAACGTAGAGCTAGCCTGAATCCAAACTTACAACATGTTCATGTTTGCTCTCTTCTTATCAACACTAAAGAAATTGTTCAAATAAGCTTTCTCTTTCATATACATCGTAACAATGTCTCTAGTACATGTTCTTGAAAAAATCTTGCACCTCGGCAATACAACAAATGAAAATGGAACTCAACGATGATCTCCTAAAAACCAACGGATCATATACTTAATGGCCTTCATATTACCACTCAGTGAAAAACAAAACAGAATCACTTACAGAGTGAAACGAGTTTCCAAAGGAAGATTGGTGGAAAGAGACCATGAATCGACTAGATTTGAGTCACTAAACACCACAATAAACTCTGTTAAACTCAAATGACTCAACCATCGAAACTCAAACAAACTCAATCCAAGAAAGAAAATTACCTAAGGTGGATTTGACGGGAAAATAACAATATTAAATACTGCTTTGAGCCTATAAAATCCAGTCTAAACTGAAACCGTGAAACAACTTCTGATCTTACATATATCGACTAATCTGATCTTAGTTCGTTGGGTTTAAACTTACATATTAACAACCAAAAATGGACTTCTCTGATATCACCCTAACCTTCTTACTCTTAGTTCAACCTCTTAATGCAAACCATCAGCTTCAACAATTCACCACGCAAGAAACTGTTAGGGATCAACATGAAACTCTCCTGAGGGGTTTGAAAACTCACTTCAAGAACCCTCTTCACCTCTGGTGATTCATAAGTGATGGTGTGTCCTTCCACAGTATAGGAGATAACATATGAGAACTTTCCTACTGCTGGAGAAGATGGTGCAATGCAACTAACAGTCACATACACACCACATGGCTCCTTAAAACGCTGCACTACAAACAATAGTCCCATCGGATACTTCCCCATACGTACTACCTTATCGCTCATGTTCAACTCGGCAGTAAAGGAAATGCCAAAATTTAACGTAATATCTTCATATATTTGCATGACACTTTCCAGGTGGATAGAATAGTGAACCCACATTTCCATGTATGATCCAGCGTAATCGCAGTCTTGTGCAGGGAAGGAGCATTGAGAGAAGGCACATACCTTCTCATGGATTGATTATTTCCCATAAGTTACATTCTTGGTGCATCCGTGATTGGCGTTTGGGCATGGGACGAAGATGGATTCAAGAACAGTCTCCATTGCTCTGCAGCGATTGTTGCCGATAGGCAAAGCACAGGAAGGGCATTTACCACTCAGTTTCAGACAGCAAGAAGAGCATGCCAAATGCTCATTATCACACTGAAATACAAAACCGTGAATCAAAAGCTGTATCAACATTTATACCATCATACACAAATTTCCAAGAACTCAAACATGAAACATTTCTTACAAAACCTAAGTAGAATCTTCAAATCATCAAAACAAAAGCTAGGATGTTCTTATAATCTAGTAAAATGGGGACAAGATTCAAACTTTTGTTCTTCCTTTCTACTCCAATTTATCATCTTCCTAATGCATACACTGACAAATTCTAGCTATCAGAACAGAAACCTTCTGAAATTAGAATTCAATCGGAGATAATGATAATCTACCTGGAAGACAGGGATCTTCAATTGTTCGAAGCAGATGGGACAATCAATAACATCAGGATCAAGCAGCATCAAGGAGCGTTTCTTAGCTTCTCTCATCACAAGTTTCTGAAAATCTACTTTGATCATTACAGGTACATTGATTAGAAAAGGTAGAGAGACGTTTGAAGAACACAAGAACAAGAGAGGAAGAAGACTATAAAGCATGCTTCCTTCTAGTATAAGTTACAGAACATCTACAGAGAATATTCACTGACACTAGTTCCGACCGTAACTCACTCAGTTCCCCAGTAAGGATGACTCATTATTTTCCCAGGAGATATTGTTCATAAGCACCATAACCACATGACATTGGTGAAAGCACATAAACAACATTTTCACCTTTCGACATTAAATAACATTACAAATTTACAACACGCCACAGATAACTAAATCCTCGTTAACAATGTTATAACTCAAAATACCAAAATGAAACAAAAAGGTGTCATAAGCAAAACCCAACAAAATAGACAGAAGATAGCATTTCAAATTGAAATTTAACTTTAGCTTCTAGGCAAGTTTTCGATGACAAGGACAGTAAAATGAGGCTGAGAGGACAACAGGCGATACGGAGACAGAAATCAGTCTTGCGGTGCGAACTGAAAACGGAGGTGACGGCGGAAGTTCTATTGATCACGGCGGGAGGAGCCACTGAGAAATAAGCCGAACCAACGGCGGATCAGACGACGCCGCGGGCTTGAATCGAAAACGGAGGCGACGAGGGTTTTTCTTGGGTTTTTTTTAAGTCGTAAAAGAAATACCAATGGAATTAGATAGCATTTTTCACTCTCCATTTTCGATGTATTTCTCCATTTTTTATTCTAAAATAAAGTAACTTCAAAATAAAGTTATATTTTACTTAAATATATATTTCTATTTTCCGGCAAATATATATTTCTATTTTTTATTTTAAAAAACAATATTTTAGATAGATTTTAATTCTATTTTGTTATTAATATTTTTTATTTCAAAAAAATTCAAGTAAACCGTATTTATTTTGTTATCTACAAATCCTTCTAAAAATATGAATTAAATATTTATTAAATAATCTCACCAACTTTACTGAATGATCTTGGTGCATCAAGAAATGTTTAGAGGGTTATTCATTTTTTTATTTGTTTTGTTAAATTTATTTATGTTGGTTAACTTTATTTTAGCATTTATTATGTAGTTTAAGTTTATTATATTTTGCAATCTTTTTAAAAATAATTGTAGTGTTTAAATATTTATTATTTATTATTTTATAATATTTATAAATATTAAATAGTATAAAGTAAAATTATTTAATATTTAAAGGATTAGTTTGCAAATGAAAAAAGTTCAACTTCAAAATGGAGTAGAGTTTAGGTTTACTCCAAATATGAAGTAGAATTTAGATTTATTCTATTTTAGAGTTGAAAATAGAGTAAAATTGAAGATGATTTTACTTCAAAATATCATCTGAAGTAGAAAATGGAGTGTTTAAATATTATATTTTGTAATTTTTTAGGAATAATTGCAATGTTTAAATATTAACAATTATCAGTTTTATAATACTTTTTTAAAAATATTAAATAGTATAAACTATAATTATTTTAATCTAAAAGATTAATTTGCAAATAAAAAAAGTCTCACTCCAAAATAGAGTGGAGTTTGGATCTACTCTAAATATGGAGTATAATTTAGGTTTACTCCATTTTGAAGTTGAAAATAGAATAGGATTAGAGAGAATTTAACTCAAAAATAGCATTTGGAGTTGAAAATGAAGTAGGATTGGAGATGCTCTAAGGTGAAAGCAGCAACATTTTTCACTCTCTTGTTAGTTAAACGAGAATGTCTTAATATTTTTTCATTAATTACTAATTTTTTTTTCTTTCCTCATATATCTTAGTGGAGAGAACAAAAAGAAAAACAAAGAAAAAAGAGAAAAAGGAAAAAAAAAATTGAATCGAAAAGATGAATGTTCGTGATAGTAGCTGTAGTAGCGATGGAGATAGTGATGACAATATTAATGATAGTGATGGTAGCAGTGGTGTGGTAACAATAACATAGTGAACAGTAATAGTGGTAACGTCAACATCAATAGTAGTGATAGTGACAATATTAATTAATAAATTAACCTGTATGATATATAATTAGTTTAATATGTATATTTTATAATTTGTTAACTTGTTAATTACATAATAATAATATTAATTTATATTTTTTTGATATGATAACTATATGAACATGTTAATTTTTCTTAGATAACTTAATTAATACGATAATATTGCTTTGATAATATGCTTAACATGATAATTTTACATTGATAATTAATTTAATATATATTTTATAATGATAAATGGGTTAATGTATGGTAGGTAGTTAGTGTTACATTGATAAATAAGTTAACATATAGGATATGTAATTGGTTTAATAGGTATATTTTATAATTTATTAACTTGTTTAACATGCTAATTACATGATAATATTGTTGAGTTGTATAAACAGTCTTTTCAGATAGATGTAAACAGTATTTTTGGCAATTGCGAATACTGTTATGGGGACAATAAAGGAATATTGTTGCCAGAATTTTATGTCGGTAACACAGTTTCAGATAAATGGTTTTTTGGTAACTAAATTAAATAAGAAGAAGTTTTTTGGTTTACAAAAATATTTCTCTCTCTCCTATTTACCTAATTTTTAACATTTCTATACTTTTTGTAGAATTATATCATAATCTCATGGTTTTAATCAATTAAAATAAGTTAAATATTTTATATTTTGGCTAAAAATGTGTATTAATTTAATTATAAATAGATTAAAGGGGAATATATTAGATTGCTGTTTCGAAGTAATTTAGTATTTTTTTCTAAATTTCAAGAAATTTTAAAGGAATTTGAGATTTGAGAGAATTTTGTAAAGTTATTATTATAAATTTTGAAAGTGATTAGAAAGGATTTGAGAATATTTGAAAAATAATTGAAATAACTATAGTTGACAAATAGAAAGACTACAAAACAATACAATGAGATTTTAAATCAAAATTTTATGAAAAAAGATTTTGACCGCTTGAAAGGGCGATGTAAAGAAGAATGCATAGGTAAACTACAAAATAAATTGATTTAATCATAAAAATATTAAAGATAATCAAAATCAAATAAAGCAAGTTAAAAAAAAAAATTGAAATAATAAATCGGAAATAGCATAAATAAGAAACAGAGTCAAGATCAAAATTTCTTTCCTTAACTCAAAGAATTGTCCGTAGTATGACAGATATTCATGAGTCAGAGGATACAACCGTTTAACCCTGAATCGCAACACTCGATATCGGGTCTGACGAAATTAATTCTACGAATACTCTCCAAATAACTAACCAGATGCAATGGCAGATCGAAGGAACTGTGTGTTTTTGCTCTGTGTATTTGATTTTGGATTCTTGATTGGATGATAAAAAAAAAAGAGGCTTGCGACTTGTATATATATATATATATATATATATGGTAGAGAGGGGACTAGGGTTTTTAATTGAACCCATAAAACTTGGGCGACACGTTTAGGACGTGATTAACAAATTAGGTTAATCAATACCTAACCAACCTAAAACCCTTGCACTCATACAGAGCCCGAGAATCCTAAGAGTCAATCTAACCACAAACCACGGCCATGGCCCGGCCTGGCGGCAGCGTGCGTGCGCTCGTGTGTCCTCTTTTCCTCTTTTAACCATATTAACCAATGCTAATGTTAGTCCTTATATATACCACTAAAACTTTCTAAGTTTTCAATGTAGGATAAGTTAGCTTCCCACTTCTCTTTCACTTAAGAGTCATAGCCAATGAAAACATTTCATTTTTATGGGCTCCAACTCATTTTCCATTCACACATACACAAATTTATAAAGCCCAACATGTCTTTACTAAATTTTGTTCCAACAATCCCTCACATGAATAGAATGACATCTAAACATATGAAGTTACAGACTAGATAAACTAGAAAAGACTTAACTTAGACTAGACACTGACTTAACTAGACTAGACAAACTTTTCGAGAGTACAGCAAAGACTAACTGTATCTAAAATAGTAGTTTCTCAGCCTTAAACCATTCATTGTTAATATTTTCCAGAATTACTCAGCTAGGTGGTGAACTTGATATCTTGAACCGCCCGGTTTTTTTATGTAAAACTAGACAACCGATATAACTCTGCTTTGTCTTCTTGAAGAGTTAAGTTCTCTATTTTGTTCATTGTGGCCTTGAACTTTGCCTGGTTTATCTTGAATGAACTTAGAGAGTATAGCCTGAAATTTCATTCTCCTAGAACAGCGCCATTTCACACTCACTAGGTGATTGCCATGTACCTGTCAGATATACAGAAGAGAATCTGTTATTCTATAAACTATGGTCTCATATCATCAAAATCTTCAATGCTTAGCCATCATTACTTACAAAAAGCATTGTTATCATCTTAGGAACTGATCAACTTACAATGCTTATAATAGACTTGATCTGCTTGATTTAGTTGTCCCTTGAACCTAGATCTTGGGATCTCCAGTCACATAGGTGGGATATCCATCATGGCGTCATCTGTATCCATAGGCTTTAAATCCATTCCTTTCGATGATTTAAGAACTTAATCTTGTGGCAAGCATTTGGTAAACAGCTCTGCTAAGTTATCAGCCGACTTGATGTAATCTATCGTTAGTACACCACTTGAGATCAGTTGTCTAATAGTCTTGTGTCGTCGTCGTATATGGCGATACTTGCCATTGTATATAGTATTCAGTGCCTGGGATTTAGCCGACTAGCTGTCGCAACGTACCCGCAAGGCTGACATTGGTTTATCCCACATCAGGATATCTTCAAAGAAGTTTCGGAGCCACCCGACTTCTTCTGCTGCTTTGTCTAAAGCTATGAACTCTGAATTAATGGTTAATCTCGGCAGGAGTATTTGTTTGGAAGATTTCCAAGATACCGCATCCCCACCAAGAGTAAACACATATCCACTTATAGACTTAGAATTTCTAGATTCTGAAATCCAGTTTGCATTGCTGTATCCTTCTAACACTGATGGTTCTCTACCATAATGCAGTCCATAACTTGTAGTATATCTTAGATAACTCAAAACCCTTGCTATGGCTCTTTAATGAGTGTGACCTGGATTACTTTATATCGACTTAGTACGTTTACTGAATGCGTTAAGTCAGGTCTAGTACAATTTGTCAAGTACATTAGACTTCTGATCACTCTTGCATACTCCACTTATGACACAGGTTCACCTGTATTCTTTGTCAAGTGTAGTTGAGGGTCAAGAGGAGTTTTGGCATTCCCACTTGAGTGGTTTGAAACCACTCTAGGATCTTTTCCGCATAATCACTTTTGGACAATATTATCCCTCCAGCGTGTCTTATATTCTTAATACTAGGAATTACATCCGCTAATCACAAGTCCTTCATTTCAAACTTCACCTTAAGCATGTTTTTAGTTTGTTGAATTATGTCTTTGTTGCTGCCTATGATAAGCATATCATCAACATATAGACACAGCATAACATATCCATATGAAACGTTTTTGATGTATAAACATTTATCACATTCATTGATCCAGAAGTTGTTTGACATCATCACATTGTCAAACTTCTCATGCCACTGCTTCAGGCACGGCCCAAACAAAAACTAGGTCCTGTGCCAAATCCAATTTAGTTGCACTATTTCAAAAAAATTAGGGCCCTCAATTACATGATTTTAAAAACTTTAGGGCCTTAAAATGTATCAGAAAATTGATGAAAATAGTAGGACCTAGTGCAAAAGCACCTCCAGCACACCCTTAAAACCGGGCCTGTTTGGACCACTGAGGTAGTTTTTGAAGTCACTCCATTTAGGTGGAAGCTTCTCAATGATGCAGCAAGTCTGCTAGGTTTCACAAATCCTCATTCCCTTAGTGTGGATCTCATGAAGGATTCTCTGCACTTCTTCGACTTGTTTCATCAATGGCCTTGAATTCACCATCTGATACTGTTGGAAT